GTGTGCCTGGCTGGAGCTGGCTGGAGCTGGCTGGAGCTGGCTCCACTCGAGCGGGTGTGGCGGGCCCCGGGCCCCGGGCCCCTGCGCTGGCGGGCCGCGTGCCGGACAGGGGTGTGCTGCGGGACGGTATCCTCTGGGCGGCAGGGGCTCCGTGTGAAACAGCATTTGGACCTGTGTGGTGTGGCCGTGGCTCGCGTTGGCATATTTTCCTCCACGCGAATGTGTTGCATGGTGCCGCAATTCCGTGGATTGATGAGCCGCCTCCGAGTACGTTGGCAGGAGAGGGGGATCCGGTCTGCAATAATAAAGGAAAGCCGCGAGCAGCATCTCAACAGTGCACCCGTCCTCACTCAACGCCCTGGTCCTCGGAATACATATCACATTTTGACGGGTCCTATTAACGTTGTCCGATCTTCAACGTTGTTCGGTCTCGCAGCGACACTGAAACATTTTAAAATGTCCTTTACGGTTCGGGGCGTTAACGTAATGTTTAGCTATACAGTTCCTCTCGGGTTTTCAAATTATTGTCTAATATACAGAGGTTCCTGATAAATGAACATCGACCGAAGCACTTTGCATTTCGAGAAAGATTAATCAGTGATAAGTAGGCTTTGACGATGTAGCGTATCGCATAGAGAAGGAAATCGAACCATGTTGAAGCCTCGCTGTGAGAATAGCCGAATCTTCCATACGAGGTCCGTTTGTTCATGCCGCCCTCCCTCTTTGGGCGCATCAACCTAAAAGTTGGCCGTCCTAATTTCCATCCATGTCCCCATAGTCCCATGACATTTTAAGGCGCGTAGTATACATACCAGTGCTGCTGAGACTCTTCCAGATGAGCACTTTGTGCGGTGCATGATGACCCAGCTCCATCAGTAAGAATCAAACGTTATACAGGGTGGCCCATTACCGCTGTTCTTTCTTCTTGTTATACTGGACCGGATATGCAGACGTGCGCGGGCGGGGTGTAAACCGCCTCGGTGAGCGACAAAATGGCGAGCCCGCCAGCACACCTTTTTGCAGGCGCTGCTGGCGCAGTTCGACGCGCGCTCTGCAGCCGTGCTGCACGCCGTGCAGTGAGCTGTATCCACCATCCACCCCGCGGACCGCATGATAATCAACTTTGTTTTGTTATATACCGAGCCCTGGCCAATCTCGTGGGGGTGGCGTAGGCGTGTAGGCAAAGGGGCGAAGAGCCCGGGGGGGG